CTCTCAGTACATATTGATAAATATTCTCACCACAGGTAACCCAGGCTCCGATTTTCTTTGTTTGTTTGTTTCTTCCTTTTTTTGTAATTTTCAACTGAAATTGAGCGTTGCACCAACGTACCTCTTCAGGTGCATTTGTCCGCTGATTCTTATATAAAAATGACATAAATAATGTCTTAACCAATCAAAGGGCATGCTTAAAGMAAGCTGTTTTTTAWTTGGCTAAACCAATAACATGGTTGGTTGTCTAGGTTCTTTTTGTGAAAAGTTTGGTAATGGAGAAAAAGGAATGGGAGTGATTCCTGACTGGAYACCCATTACTTACAATCCAGATGATGTCCAGGTACCATACTTTGTCCAGGACACTCCCGCTGCACGCCAGGATMTTGCTGCTCAGTACACAACCATAAGTCGCCTTGACCAGGGAATTGGTMTTGTGTTGAAAGAGCTAGAACAAGCAGGCTTTCTTGACAATACCTTAGTCATTTATAGCTCTGATAATGGSATTCCATTCCCGACCGGTCGGACAAACCTCTTAGATCCGGGCATGGCCGAACCGTTCCTTGTATCTTCCCCTGTACATAAGGACCGCTGGGGACAAATTAGCGATGCTATGGTGAGCCTAGTGGATATTGTCCCCACTGTTTTGGACTGGTTTGGAATCGCATACCCTAAGTATAAAATATATGGTGCAAATGATGTCCAGCTAACTGGCAAAAGTTTGTTGCCGGTCCTGGAAAAAGAACCGAAGTCAGGCTGGGACGAAGTGTTTGCGAGCCATAACCTACACGAAGTCACCATGTATTACCCGATGAGAGTTTTACGCACAACACAGTWCAAACTAATACACAATTTAAACTACAAAATGCCTTTCCCAATCGACCAAGACTTCTTMATTTCGCCATCATTTCAAGATCTTCTGAACCGAACACGAGAGGGTCGACCTACTCATTGGTTTCGTTCTTTACAGCAGTATTACTACCGACCCGAGTGGGAGCTTTATCACTTGATTAACGATCCTGAAGAGATCAATAATTTAGTAGATAATGTGGTTTATAAGGACGTTTTAATGGTCCTTCAAAAAAGGCTTAATGCTTGGCAAAACGCTACTAATGACCCATGGATTTGTGCGCCATCTGGAGTACTTGAGAACCAAGGTAATTACCCCAARGAAGGTGTGTGCTTGCCTCTGGATAACAGCACATGAATCAATGGTTTAACCTGAAATAAAAACGCTAAACAAAATGAARGGGTWGTTTTCAATTTCCKATAAAAACCAGACAACGAACTCCAAAGCGTATTCCATTCCGTCGTCCATAGCTTCCATTTTCGTTTTTTTACTTCCAGTCTGACTTGGTTACATTGACGAATGTAAACGATGAGGACATCAGAATATAAGAAGCGATTCATTCGCCAAACTTTATTTGAGCATTTTTYAACATAATCACGATGTCACAGTATGTTTACAGAAAGGATCAGAAACTGAACTAACCATATTTTCTATACGAAAGTAGAACAAGAAGGGCGAACTATTCAATACTTTATTCACATGGAATATAAAACGGATTTCCGTGTTTGATAATCAAAACACGCGGGATGTTGTGAAAACACTAGAGAAGCATAGAGAATAGAAGAGAGAGAAGCGTACAGCGCGTGTTATATACCAATTATTTTAGAGTGTTAAAGCCTTTGCCCACAAGATATGATTTAAGATACTCATGATGTATTTTTTGATAGATTATTGTTCAAATATGACTTAATTAATTTGTAATTTCTCTATTTTTCTAAACCATGGTATTTTAAGAAGCGTTCTTTCTTAATCTTAAATATAGACGAATTATTATTATCATTAATTATTATTAATTCGTCGAACTACATTTTAGCTATATCGTTACTGATCAAACCTTTTTGTAAACACTTAGGTCAACTTTTAAAATTATTGTAAATTATCGTAATTATAAGAAATTATAATAATAATAAAAATGATTATAACTATTATTGCTATTATTCATACTAATTAGTGTATTTTATGACAATTTTGTTTCGTATGGTAGAGTATATTATATTCACTCTGTCTGCASCTCAACACACGTTCAGTCACAGGGAGCCCAAGCAATGACTTTGAACCTATAATAGTTAAAAATAAAATTTTACTTGGTCTACTTTTATTTTAATCAGTGTCACATTGCACTATAAATGCATCTAATGCATGTACTCCTAGTGATTTGACAGTCATTTTTTGGGAGGGAGTACTGATTATGAACGAATCAGGATTTACATGAGTTCACCTTAAATATGATAGCATACCGATCATAGTATAGCGTGTTTGTGTGTATGTCTAATCAAAAATATAAGCTCATCAAATAAATAAAAGAAGAATAGAACACAATTCTTAGTCTTCTTCCTCCATTTTAACTTAACTCTAATTTTACCATGTTGTAGATTATATTGACGTGTCCTCGATGGTGCTCCGTGACAGGTGAAACTGTCCCGAGTGTCCCCTCCCCCCCCCTCCCCCCCATAGTATACAAATCTGTCTAGTTTTCAGTTTTGCGCGCGCAAGTGTCTCAGGATAACCTCGACGCGAATGGGTTTGGGCTATTTTTGGGGACACTTTTTTGGATTTTTTTGCCCGAAAAGCGTTTCTATCGATGCCTCTCGTCCAAAATAAGGTAAAAACATTGATTTACATATGCTGTCTCAGATATAAGTTCGTTTTGATTAAAATTTTGGCGCGAAAAAAGGATTTTTGTCGATTGCTTTGGGCTCCTTTTTAGGAGAATTTTGAGCGAAGTCTCCTCCCTTGTCACTATATATATATAGAGAGAGGGGAATTTTTTTTAAAACCATTGATAATGCATTGTGACACTGAATAAAATAAAAGTAGACTATTTTTTATGTAAAATTTAATTTTTACTATTAAAGGTTCAAAGTCATTGCTTGGGCTCCCTGTGTTGGATTCCACGCTGAATAATGTACGTCACATTTTCGTCATCTCGGACCAATCAGCACGCGAGRTTATTATGCGATATGGGATTCTATCGACAAATCGTCGGAAGACTGTCATTTACAAAAAAAAAAAAAAAAAAAAAATCGAAAGCATTTGTGGGACAAGCCGCGAGCGTTCGATTCCCGAGCTTTCTTCTGATTGGATAATCGCACGCTCGCGCTTGATTTGTCGGAACCATGATATTCATGAATGTATTATGCGATATTTTATTTTAAATCATTGTTCACTTTGGGKAGTCTTAATGTAAAATGAATGAATTCTCCCCATCGTCGCGAAAGGACACACACTGAACGTGTGGCAGCGTGGACCGAAAATGCATCCGGGTACGTTGGCCAAACCCTTAGGCCCCTCGTCCATAGCAGGCTAGAAATTTTTAAATTTTTAAAACGTTGACCGGTCACGTTAACACTCAATGATCCGGTCATTTTTGCAAACTCTTTAAAATACCGATGCGTGCGAAAGCAAAGACTTTTTGAACTGTCAACAAATAAATGAATAAAAATACAGATTAAAAATAATCAAAAATTGAGGAGAAATATATATTCTGTCATAATGTAGGAAGACTTTAGGTTTGGATATATTTGGAAATCAGGAAATCATTTGTGAATTATACCCGAAATAACTTATTTTGGATTGTATTATATTATCGTTTAATTTTGCATTAATTATAAACACAGAATTATAGATACGAAATCTAAATTTGCATCAAGTCAAATAATTTACAAGAGGTTTATCAACAAAACTCGTCGTTTTTTTTGTGTGTGCAAATGTCCTTACAAAGATTCTTCAAGCATCGTCTGTATTTGTAACGAATAAATCAATCTGACAGTTGAATGCATTTTAGTTTCGCTTTTTCGTCTAGAGCAATCTACAGAGTTTATTTACATGAATATCTGTTGATACTGTCTGCACTTTCTTCACATAATTTTACGCACCGGTTTGTCGTAATTTAGAAACACAGTTCCGATGGCGAAGAGAGATTCGTTCTTGTACCAAGCCGACGCAAAACTGTCATAATCAGGCTTCCAAACTCGATGGCTGGCCTTTTCAATTGTAGTATCGTTGACTTCCCCGATCATGACCAGAACAGCCACATTGGAAGCGTTTAGCTGGATTTTACTCAATTCTTGCTTGATGATTTCACGTAGAAAAGAACTGCGTGCCTCGGAGTCCCAAGCGTTGTAGAAGACGCCTCGAAGGTTTCCTTTTAAAACATCTTCTACGATTCCTTGAATTTTTAAATCTTGGAGTCGACAAGCAGGTTGTAAGATCAAAAGTTCATCGTCAAGTTTTGAGACTTGGTTTGTATCTGTATCAAAGCGTCGTTTTAGAGGCATCATGATGATAGTCAACTCTTCTCGATCGCCAAATACTTCACTTCGTTAGCAGAACCAGTGTTTGGTTGTTAATTTGCCATGGTAGATGAATACGACCTTAATTAGCTCTATCTTCACGGAAATGAGGGCTATTGTTAGCAAATCCACTAAGAATACCATCTYAGAACTATGCCAAGTTCTTCGAACGCGATAAAGAAACTACATTCATAGAATCATCTTGTTTTATTCTACAAATACTCAACATATCCTAAAGCATCTAGTTTTTTGAACTATTATAAATTGTACTCATGTAAGGTCAATTATCGACTGTGGTATTGATCAAACATCTTTTTTCGTCGCTAATCAAGGTAGTCTTGTATTAGTGGCTGATAACCTGACTAATGAGCACTTCTGCAGTCCAGTTTTGGGTTCGGCGGCGAGCCAAAASAATTCACAGAGTGAAGCCATGCTTTCCCACAAGATTGGCCTAGTGGTTTAATTAAACTATTAATAATATTTTGTCTGAAAATTCTTGATCTCAAAAGCCGACCAACAGTTATTGAATAAATCGAGTTTGTTTTTCTTTAGAAGTACTCAGAATTAACGGAACACGATAAAGCCTTTTTGGTGGGTTCTCCAAAATCGCCAAGTATTTCATTGCATCGATAAACCATTTTTCACGAAAAAAAAAAACGTTTTCTGGAGAACGTAAGMTTATCAATGAAATATAACAACGGTTTTCAACCAATCAGAGCGCGCGAATGCTATAGCGAAGGCAAAAAGAGTTCTATCGAGTTGATGGAAAAAGTAAACGAATCTACCTCACAACAACACGAGCAAAGAACACCGAAAAATTCGACTTAAATAGGAAGGAATCACAAGTCTTTTTTAGATCTTATGCGAAGATATCAACATTTTAAGGGACAAAAACGTTTTAATGAGACCGAGCTTTTTGTAAGCAAAATATTCACGGTCAGTGTTGGCTCATTTACGATAAGAAAGCTTGTTAGCTAATCGTGAAATAATCAAGTAAAATGAGGTATGAATGCTTAATGAATAGCTTTGTGATCATTGAATAGCATCCAAATTACCAGGTGGCTAGGCTACAGTCAGAAAATACAAGTTATCGCTGCGAGTTTGTTAATGAACAGATGAAGCGAGTCGTCTTTGTGTCCGGTGTAAGCAGTGAGTCTCGTTAACACTCTTGCTAAGCAGTCTATTGAATTTGATCAGTTGCCAAACTAAATGGATTTGAAAACCAGTTGTAACTCTTGTTTCCTTGAGAGGGGCTTTGGCTGCAGTAATTAGAATATAGAGGCGGTCTTCACTGCCACAAATTGACAATTAATTTAGATTGTTTTTGCTCTCGTCTTTCTCGTTCGATCACAGCGGGATGMCTGCGCGTTTCTGATCATTAACGAGTGTTTTCTTGTTTTTCTCTCAAGCGATTTTAAATATTCTCTACAGGAAAACATCTGTATGAGGGTAAAATATGTCAGAAGGATGAAAATCAAGCAAAAAGAATATTATATGGTTCATAAGAAATTAGTTTTAATAAAATATATTAAATATGTGTCATGTGGTTTGTAGTCACTTGAAACTCTACAATTTGTTTACCATCGAAGTCTCACTAATCATGTCTTTGGGTTTGCATATAAAACATTCACGTTTTCCGTTTTGAGTCAACTCGACTTGGCTCGTGTAGCCATTTGGAAAGAGTTAACMTTTTTTAAGTCCAGTTCTGGGGGGCTCGGGCTTGGTGCTGGAATCCGCCGCAAATACGCCAAGAAAAATCGTTAAAATCCACGAGAAAATTCGCCAAGATCGACGATCCGTTAGGAATATCGACTTAAAAAACAGCCGAATCTGCTGATCCGAAAACCTCCATGCACTCACTGTATTTGATCTTATATTGTTCGCCCATCAGATGCAAATAATTCTTTTTTCTTTTGACTTGTTCGTTGATTTCGGTTTTTGTTTTTAATTTTGTCTCCGTTGATTTATGGTTTCGGTTCTTTGATTTGCTTGATCTTTGACTTGTTGATTTCGGTTCTTTGATTTGTTGRTTTCGGTTCTTTGATTTGTTGGTTTCGGTTCTTTGATTTGTTGGTTTCGGTTCTTTGATTTGTTGGTTTCGGTTCTTTGTTTTTGTCTCCGTTGATTTATGGTTTCGGTTCTTTTCGATTTGTTTTGCTCTTTGATTTGCTGATTTCGCTTCTATGATTTGTTCGTTGATTCGTTGGTTTCGGTTCTTTGATTTGTTTGTTTCGATTCTTTGATTTGTTGATTTGAGTTCTTTCCATTTTTCGTTCTTTCTTTTTTTGACTGAAATATAGTTGTTCTAGTCATGTTAATTTTCATTTGTTTTATAATTAATATTTTCGAGCAAGATCATACTCGAATAGCGGCGTCGACCTGCTTCTAAAAGTTCTTTTTTCTTTCTTTCTTTTTTTAACTTTAAAATATGCCTTTTTTTTCTTTCTAAAAATGCGAAGTGACCTTCAATCTTATAAATTCTCATAATCATGGAAATGTAATCCAAATAATACTAACTTTTCGCTGCAATGATAAAAATATTCAGAAGAAATGATCGGGAAAAGATTAAACGCAGAAATAAATCATGTCGCTGTGTTGGAGTGGTTTTCGTTTTGCGTTTATAATAATAGCAAGATGTTATTGACAAAATATTGTTTTAAAAGATACTTAAACTTATCCAAATAGCCTCTATTAGGTGAAGTCCCTCGGGATTTCTCGATTGATCATGTTAATAACATTAGGATTAATGTTTTTTGTCATTTATGGTTATAAGAATAGAGAGTTTGTGAATAATCCGCTTTCAGTAAACCGGCAAGCCAGTTGCCAAGACGCCAAAGTTTACAAGTTTTCATAAGACAAATATTGCAAACTGATAACCCTTTTACTCGCTAGTTGATCTAATTAAGAATATTAGACGTTTATCTTTTTTTATAGACTCATTATTTAATTTAAAACGCCAAGTTATCTACTGATCGAAGTGAAAATGAGTTTGCAGCCACCTAGTAGCAAGATGTTGTCTTCTCGTCGAGGAACTTTAAGAAACTCTCTCGCCTTCCATCAATCAAAACGCGTGTCTTTGGCACCGCCGCAAAGCGAGAGCGATGGTACTAGTATGGCATGCTTTGACAAAAAAGATTTAATGTTGGCAAACACATACAAAATGAGCCCAGATCAGAAGTTTTTACCAGGCAAAGTCAAGGCGTACATGGAAAATTTGCTGGAAAATACATTGAAAGATCTGGAATATGACGATGAGAAAGCTAAAGGTCTTTGCTTAAGTCTTAGCGAAGAAATTAAAGGAAAAGTGAAAGAAAATTGGCTTGTGAATCGGTTCAAGCTGGTATGTGTAGTCAACGTTGGTAAACCATTCAACCAAGGTCTTCAAATCACAAGTCGATGTCTGTGGAATTCTGCCTTTGATACGTTTGTAACCGCTTCGTTTTCTACGGAAAAGATATTTGGCATGGCTACCGTGTACGCAATCTACTTGGAATAGAATTACGCAACGTTTACGTTTTACGGTAGACATTAGTAGTGATAACTAAAGGCACTCTCTGAAGATGACTGACATGTATTCCAATGAAACGATTTTATAATGATATTTGGTACCGACAGGACATGCGTATAAAAATGTTAAGTAAACATTCTTTTTTAAAAACTTAGTTTACCCTAGCAAATGTGTTGCACGACAAAAGCAGCGATGTTTGCCGAAATTTATCGCAAATCGCCCAAATTACCAATGTAAACAGACTTCATATTCAAAGTCAGGTCTGCGCAAGTTGCAATTTCGAACATGCTACAAATTTTAGAAAAAATCTCTGCAGTTTTCACTGAAAAATCTGTCTTGTTGTATCAGTAAAAACAACCACTTTTGGCAGTTCTGCAAAATCAGTCAAAATTGTTAAACTAAACAAATGATTTTATCAATATGTAAGTACAAGCAATAATTCCTATAAATATACTAGAAAACCCTGAAGACTCTGGATCTGCTATGAACTATTTCTGCAATACAGTCATTTTCTATACCTTTGGGCATAGTTATACTTTTGGGCTTCCTGTTTTGTGATAAGACTGCCTKAAGGGGGCTATGGGTTTACATCACCTCAGCCCGAGTACCCGGCTCGGGCAAGAGGATCCAGAGGAATCTTAATCAAGCCGCCAATGGCGACACAACTCGAGGATTGTTAGACAAGTGGACATAAATCTCTATGAAGCCTTAGACTAATGGTCTAATTTCGACAAAAAAATCTATAAAATGAAAATATTGAACTTGAAATTTTGAGTTTAATAATTTATATGCATCCGTAAGACCTTAAAACATATCGACAATGAATTCTCAACACCATCACAATTTCATAGTTTGAAGTGATGATACTTTCWCTTTGAATGCTGACCGTTAAAATTTATATTTTGCGTTCTTACTTGTTGTAGTGTCGTCCGTGCATCGATTTGTTACGAAGGATAAAGTTTATATGAATCGATGAGCATTAAATWCTAATCGACGTGGATCGGAATAATCCCTGAAATCATCGTCATAATAGAATGCTGTATCTATGAGCCATATTGACACCTTTTGAAATCAACAGATTCATATACAAGAACTTTTTCTTGTGTTTAAAAAGCCATTTCTGTATCAAAACACCTGAACATCTTGGTTACGGATTTCTAAATGCCCGTATGTTTACAGAAAAAAATTGTGACTTATTAACTGAGTGACTGAGTGAGTGAGTGACAGATTCGTCCCCCTACAATGATCCTTCGATTGCTTCGCGATCTTCGAGTTAAAAAGGGCAGAATGAAGGGTTGCCTGCGGAGAAGTCTCACTTGTCCTTTGTTATTGTTCTCTCGTCAAGTATGCATATTTGCTGATGATAAATTATTTCGTAGAAATCCAAACGTACAAATTGTAAACTTAAGGAATTGAAAAGGTCTAATCTGGGACGAAACTAGTTTTCCTTAAAATAAAGTTTCTTGGCGTGACTGTGTCTTAAAGACTTCACGTATTGGGTTTAATCCTGTCCAGCATTATGATAAATTATTTCGTTAGCTCAAAATTACTTTGACGAGGAGGATAACAACTTTGGAGAATAAACCGTGCAAATGCAAGAGATCATTTAGCACAGAAGACAGTGAAAATACTTTGAAAGCTTACGAGGTTTATCTAAATTTCTGRATATWTTATACACAATTGAGGCTAACGCAGCGTGCAAAAGCTGACTCGTCGCCATTCGTCTCTCGCGACTCTTTCTCTAGTATATCGATAAGCTTGTCTTTCGCGCGCGAGACAGGAGAAAACGACTTGGGATGAGCCAAGTGCAACGAGAGATAAACTAAACTACTGATTATAGGCATCCACTCCGAAACCAGCTAAAAATAGCTTTAGACCATATTTTAAAATAAACATTATGTCACTCCACTTGGAAGATGACTCTACCAGAAATATTAACCTAGTACCTCTTTTGTTTTACGTGGATTGAATTTACATATGTCAGGGGTGTGGTCACCCCTAGTAGTAGGGTTACCCTATCTCAGTATTAGGTAGTGTGGCCCTCCTAGAACCCTGAGCAAGCTTTTTGCCATCAAAGTAACGACCTTTGCGGTGTCATTGAGCTATGACAGGAGCCCATTACTAGGAGCGTCCTACGGCTTCTCAAAGGTATCACTGAGAGTGACTGGCTTCCTGTCTTTTTGGGAGCCAGAAGAGGGGGAATGGGAGCAAGAGATGGGAGGCGTGTGATCTCCTCTTCTTATTTTTCCTTTCTCGTCACTAGTCCCTAGCGGCCAAGATGACCGTTACAAAGGAAGCCCAAAGTAGGCCGTTCGAGGAGTTTAGACTACTGAACATTTTTGCTATTTGGAGTTTGACAAAAAAAACCTTAAACTTTACGAGAGGTTGGATTCTGAGCGACAGCTTTAAACGAGTTGATATTTTGACAGACTTAGTTTTTAGCGGAAACTTACGAGTGAATCTTCTATCGAGAATCAAGAGAATATATTTGAGTCCAGGGGGGACTCCCTTTAAACGTTGGTAGGTATGCTCGACGGACGGATTAAAAAAATGACTCTGAAAGGTACGCATAAATTAATTCAGGTATCGATTCCAGACCCTAAAAGGTACGACCCTTTTTTGACGTCTTTAAAGAGAGAAAAGCTAAAGTTTAACATATAGTTAATAGAAACTATGAAACTAACAAGCTTTAGAAAATCAATATCGATGGTTGTTGAGGTTAATAAAATCTATTTCTTTTTTAATTGTTTTCGATGTTTGAAAATTGTCCCTAAAAGGTACGGAGTCAGYTCAGGACCCTAAAAGGTTCGCGAGGGCCTATTTTCGTCGAGCATACCTACCAACTTTTATAAGGGAGTCCCCCCCGGTTTTTGAGTGAAAGCTGCTATCGAGAATTTGAGAATTGAACCAAGCAGAGTTCCACGACGAATTTTCAAATGTCTCAGGACCAAGAATACGTTTAACTTTAATGTTAGCAAAATGGCAAGCATTATAGGTATCAGAATTGAGCGAAATTAAATATTACACTGGTATAAACAAACAATATATACGACAGAAGAGAATTTAAGGACCTTTAACTATTCACTTACTATGTGTCCAACAGTATTTTAAACTCAAGACAAAAAAAGACAAATTTTGAAAGTCACAAAATTATATAACACAATACGTTAATTGTATTATAGTTACAGATTCTAAGGACTCAATCTTCCAACCACGGGATTATAAATTCCAAAACGAGCGCCGCTGAAGATTGCCCTCTTAAGTTGAATCATAGCACTGATGGTATTTGACATCAAGAAAGGCATAGGGTCGTCCTTATCAAAGACTGCATCTCTACCATTCATCAACGACCACAATAACCCACCAACACCCTGACGACCAGAAAATAGCTTGTGGA